CCCCCCCCCCCCCCCCCCCAGAGCCGATTCCCAGCGCAGCAACAAAACTGGGCGAGCTCGTCTGAAGGCGATCACAACCCCTGCCAAAGTCAAACCCCTTGACCTTTTTAAAGGCCTCCGCACATGGAACTCAGCTGCTACAAAGGGCCTTGGCCCGCCCACCCGTCGCTCCCGCAGGTAGCTGAAGAGGGTAGGTACTGCAACCGTCTTAGCGGTTGTTTAGCGTCGAGAGGCAAGTCCCTCAAGGCGCATGTCAGCCGACACTTGAGTGTCGAATGAGACCCTCGATAACGCCGAGGGCCACACCAGTATGGACAACATATAACTTGCCATCGCTTCGATAGTTTGCGAACTCATGAATGGTGAGTCTTTATGAGGAAGCCTGTAACGCGGCCCACATTAATAGATGTCTACCCCGCGCTGCCTGCAAGTGGTCGGCTATATTTGGTTATGGGCCGGACACTCCACGGGCCAGGCGTGAATCTTTGTTGTTAATTTATCGACACATTTTTGTTTGTATGTTGCGCCAGCAGGACGTGTCCTATGAGGAGTAAGACGTGCACAAGGGACGGCCGAACTGTCGAGGACCACAAAAATCCGCCGGGATCCGAACTTCGCAGATTTCGAATTGACGGCCAACCGGTTATCAACGGGTCGCAGTAAACTGACTGTCGGCCAATCGTCATAACGAACTGTCGGCCAATCGTCATAACGAACAGAAGGCTAGGAGAGGCAGGAGACAAAAGAAAACATGGCTTAATGACCCTCAGCTGACCCCCGCAAACCCCGAGTAACTGCACGTCGATTCGAAAGTTGTGTGCTGGGACTCAAAGCCTTTGCAGCCCGCACGGCTTCAACCCCGCAGCGCCTTCACAATGTCGACACCCTACCGCGCGAACCGTAAAGCACGCCGTGGCAGAAGCATGACAACGACCAAACCACACATATCGCGACGATTGCTTTTATTGGAGGGCAACGAAGATCGACGGCATACTGCAAATGGACCCGGCCAGTGACACCGTCGTCAACCCCAATAAACCCCTTTTAGGGCAATTCAGAAGGTGAGCAATTTCGCGCACTACCAGGACGCCGGCACCGAAGACGGACTGGGAAGTCCAAGCTGTTGAAAATAACGAACAGATTCACGTGGAGCCTCAAAGTTCGCCGGGATCCGAATTTAGTGGGTGCTGAAGTAGCAAGGAACCTGTTTTCGCGCGGCCGGTGTTAGTGGAAGGGAGCGCCAGTGGGTGCACACAAGGAACACTATGTTTGGGCGCACAGAAGGAAGGCTGTGTTGTCGTTGAATGAAAGCACGCGCAGAACAAAGGGTAGTGGTGGATTCACCACCACACAATTCGGCGCAGCGCGACCCCAAACTGACCCCTATAAACATCGATTCTCACCATCGTCTAAGCGAGCCCGTGCGGTGTTCCATTCAGAGGTACTAGTGCAAGAGCTTATCGAACTCGGACAGCTCCACTGCGCAGACAAGTAAAATGCAGAAATGGATGAAAGATCCCCCCTGCAACCCTTCCAAACAGTGATTCGGCCAGTCGAGAAGGCGACCCCCGACTCGCGCGCCTGGAACGTCGACGTGAGACAGCGCGAACCGCACAGCACGCAGAAACACAAGCATGTCTGGGACAATACTCCGCGCACCGCGACGGTCAAAACCCTTGGGGGGCAACAAAGATCGAGGGCGAGAAAAAATGCTCGCCTTCTGAAATGCCCTTGAAGGGGTTTATGGGGGTTGCCGATGGCGACAACGGCCGTGTCCCTTATTTTCGGCAACCTCCATGAACCCCTTCAAGGGCATTTCAGAGGGCGAGCAATTTCTCGCACCCGCAGTCCTCTCGCAATCAACTCACACTGGAAGCTCCAGGCGTCATGCGAAGGACGGATAGATTCGCACCGATCCTTAAAGTCCGCCAGGATCCAAACTTGGTGGATTTGCCTGCAGCGAGTAACAGGTTTTCGCGTGGCTGCAGATATTGGAACGGGTGGATGGCGTTCGCACAGAAGCAGGCGATGCTCGGCCACACTGCATTTGGGGGCGGCGATGAACGAAGATCCACGGCACACCGGAAATGGACCCGGCCAGTGACACCGTCGTCAACCCCAATAAACCCCTTTCAGGGCAACTCACAAGGCGAGCACTTTTGCGCACTACCAGGCCGCCGACATTGAAGACAGACTGGGAAGTCCAAGCTGTTGAAAATAATGGTCAGATTTTCACGGAGCCTCAAAGTTCGCTGGGATCCAAATTTGGCGGGTGCTGAAATAGCAAGGAACCTGTTTTCGCGTGGCCTGTGTCAGTGGAAGGTAGCGTCGGTGGGTGCACACAAGGAACGCTTGTCGGTGAACGATATCACGCGCAAAACAAAGGGTAGTGGTGGATGCACTAGCACACAATTCAGCGCAGCGCGATCCCAAACTGACCCCTATCAACACCGATTCTCACCATCGTCTAAGGGAGCTCGTGCGGTGTTCCATTCACAGGTACTAGTGCAAGAGTTTATCGAACTCCGACATCTCCACTGCGCAGACAAGAAAAATGTAGAAAAGGATGAAAGATCCCCCCTTCGACCCTTCCAAACATTGATTCGGCCAGTCGAGAAGGCGACCCCCAATTCGCGCGCCTGGAATGTTGACGTGCGACAGCGCGAACCGAATAGCACGCAGAAACATAAGCATGTCTGCGACAAGACTCCGCACACCGCGATGGTCAAAAACATTGGGGGGCAACACAGATCATGGATGCGGAAAATTGCTTGCCTTCATAAATGCCCTTGAAGGGGTTTATAGGGGTTGTCGATGGTGACAACGACCGTGTCCCTTATTTTCGGCAACTTCCATGAACCCCTTGAAGGGCATTTCAGAGGGAGAGCAGTTTCTCGCACCCACAGTCCTCTTGCAATCAACTCACACTCGAAGCTCCAGGCGTCATGCGAAGTACGAATAGGTTTGCGCCGTTCCCCAAAGTCCGTCAGGACCCGAACTTGGTGGATTCGCCTGCATTTGGAACGGGTGGATGGCGTTTCCATAGAAGCAGGCGATGCTCGGGTGCACCGCATTTCGGGGCGGCGATGAACGAAGATCCACGGCACACTGGAAATGGACCCGGCCAGTGACACCATCGTCCACCCCAATAAACCCCTTTCAGGCCAACTCACAAGGCGAGGAGTTTCGCGCACTACCAGGCCGCCGGCATTGAAGACGGACGGAGAAGTCCAAGCCGTTGAAAACAACGGTCAAATTCACGCGGAGCCTCAAAGTCTGCCGGGATCCGAATTTGGCCGGTGCTGGAGTAGCAAGGAACCTGTTTTCGCGCGGCCGGTGTCAGTGGAACGGAGCGCCAGCGGGTGCACACAAGGAACGCTATGCTTGGCCGCACAGAAGGAAGGCTCTGCCGCTCTCAAGTTGTCGTTGTACGATAGCACGCGCAGATCAAAGGGTAGTGGTGGATGCACCACAACAAAATTGGGCGCAGCGCGACCCCAAACTGACCTCTATAAACACCGATTATCACCATCGTCCAAGCAAGCTCGTGCAGTGTTCCGTTCAGAGTTACTAGTGCAAGAGTTCATCGAGCTCGGACATCCCCGCGCAGACAAGGAAAATGCACAAATTGATGAAAGATCCCCCCTGCAACCCTTCCAAACCCCGATTCGGCCAGTCGACAAACCGACCCCCGAATCGCGCGCCGGTAACGTCGATGTGCGACAGCGCGAACCGGACAGCACGCAGAAACACAAGCATGTCTGCGACAAGAATCCGCGCACCGGGACAGTCAAAACCCTCGGGGGGGGTTCTCGCCCACGGCACACCGACAAGGGACACGGCCGCTATCACCGTCGGCAACCCCCACAAACCCCTCGAAGGGCATCTCAGCAGGTGAGCATTTTTTCGCACCCACAGTCCTCTCGCAATCAACTCGCACTTGAAGCTCCAGGCCTTATGCGAGCACTTTTGCGTACCCGGAGGCCTCTGGTAATCAGAACACACTCGACAGTCGGGAACGTCGAAAAGGGCGGTTAAATTTACGCGGGACCTCAAAGTCCGCCGGGATCCGAACTTGGCGCTTGCTGGACTGGCGAGGAACCGGTTTGCGCGGGGGATGACGGATATTTGGATGACGGGTGTGGAAGTGCACAGATGGAACACTATGCGTGGCTGCATGGTCAGGGAGGCCCTGCTGCTGCTCACAAGTGTCTGTTCCAAGAGAGCACGCACAACAAAAATGGTCGTCTCAGGTGCACCACGTCAGAAATCAGCGCAGCGCGGCCCCCAATAGACCTCCATAGACCCCAATTCTCCTCATCGACAAAGCGAGCACTTGCGGCGATCCAGTTGCAAATGTTGTGCTCCGTGATGACAATGACTGCAAGCACCAAAAAAAAAAAAGACCACGGCTGGTGGACCCCCAATTAGTACCGCAGACAAGGCGAGCTCGCAGTCGGGCAATGGCAGGTTTCACAGCCAGGATCATGGGACGATGAACGGGTGTCAACCACGAAGTCCGCCTGGATCCGAACTTGAGATCAGTTGCCGCGTTCGACCGGGAGCATGAAACACTTTGCTTTTCTTGGAGTCCCATTGACATGACTGTTGTTTTTGCGGCACCGCCTCCCAAAGAATAGTCATGTAGCCAAGACTCTGAAAAGATCCATGCAAACCGTAAGCGTGCAATTTCAGCGACGCCGTCGAAACAGCTCTCCCAAAGCAGCTCGCGACTTCGCATGCTTGAGATCGCAAGTCCGCCGGGATCCGAACTTCGTCGCACGCTGACAACTGGCAGGGCGTTTTCATACCTGCGCGTGCTCTCCCTGCGCCGGGATCCGAACTTCGTCGCACGCTGACAGTCGCGTGTGAAAGCTTGCCGAAAAGGGAACTTCGGATGCCGGTGAACTACAACAATCATGCGCTGTTTTCATACCTGCGCGTGCTCTCCCTGTGACCGCGCGACGACAACAGATTGCCGCTTTCGCGAGAGCACTGCGCATGATTGCTATAGTTCGTCGGGATCCGAACTTCCCATTTCGCCAAGCAACAACACGCCACGCGCCATTTTTTGTTTGGCTGTTGTTGGTTTCGCGCTTGCAGTCACAATGGCGACCCCCCTTGCCCCGATGACTGAAACGTTTCCCGGAGGCGCCCGGGTTGTTCGTTATTGAACGAGGCCATGTTTTCGTGTTGAGGTTGTCGTCACGAAACATGCGGCGCCTACGCCGAAGAAACGCTATCGTCATTGTAGCGAGCGGCGTTGGCGTTCTCCATCGCGCGCACGCAACATCTTCGTTCTGGAGCCCGCGGATGTTGCGCGCACAGTCCTGGCATTCGTCGTACAGAATGCGTTATCGCGTCCCTCACGACCAGCGCCGGGAGCGCGCGCTCAACATCTGTGGCCTCTATGGTGGATCATGTGCACGTTGTGTGCGCGGGATGGAGACAACAGCAGCTCTCCCGGGATTGACTCCATAGTCTCTTCGGGGAGGGAGGCTCAAGTGTTGTGGAGAGAACACGAACACGGAACGATGCCCCCCTCCCGTTTATGAATACCATCCCTCTCACTGCACGCCACGTGGACGGCGGACATCCTTCGCACCGTGGCCACCCGCGTGACGCTTAATACCAACACTGGTCGCGCGCAACCCATGTGGCACCCGCTTGTCGCTCACCAACACCACCGCGACTACAGTCCGTCCTTGCTGGCGCAGTTGTGATAACCAACCTCTAATCTGTTTCATGAGAACAGCAAACGTGCAAGGGAAGTGTTTCGAAGGGGTTTCGTGTTCTGCTGGGAATAGGCGATTTCGTGTTTGCCACAACCACTCGCCAGTGTATTGCAATGTTCACTATGGTAACCACGCGGGAGTGTTTTGCAATGTTCAACTTGGGACACGTGGAGCGAATGAGAGAATAGCAGAATGGGACACATGGAACGAATGACAGAGAAGCAGAATGGGACACGGAAACCGTGTGCCCCGATGTCTTCGTCATCCGTTCCTGCCGTCCCCGCCACTTGCGACACGTGGCATGACATGATGATAATGATGATGATGGTGAGACGACGATGATGTTGATGTTGATGTTGTTGATGATGTTCATCATGATGACGATGTTGGTGATGATTACGGTGTTGATGTTGATCTGGACGACGATGTTGCTGATGATGATGACGATGTTGATGACGACGATGACGACGATGACGATGATGATGATGATGATGATGATGACGAAGATGATGACGACGACGATGATGATGATGATGATGATGATGATGATGATGATGACGAAGATGATAACGACGATGATGACGATGATGATGATGATGTTGATGATGACGATGATGACGAAGGCGGCGATGGTGGTGATTTTGATGACGACGACGATGCCGCTGATGATGATGATGATGATGATGTTGATGACGTTGACGATGTTGATGGTGATGATGATGATGATGATGATGAGGATGATGATGATGAGGATGAGGATGATGACAATGATGATGATGATGATGATGATGATGATGATGATGATGACGATGATGATGGTGGTGATGATGATGGTGATGATGATGGCGATGATGATGATGATGATGGCAAGCAAGAATCATGGGGCCGCTCGCGAGGAAAGAACGAGCGGGAATCAAAGGGGCATACAGAAATCATGTGGCCCAATGTCAGCGACATCCGTTCCCGCCGTCCATGCAACTTCAAACAGATGGCGCGACGCGGCTGCTCCCATGCGCCTGCAACTTCAAACAAGTGGCGCAACGACCGACACGTGGGCAGACAGAACAACACTTTACCTTGACGAGGGCACAACGCATACGACGGCGCAGCACTTTGAAAGGTCACAGTTCTTCGACAAGGCGCAGTTCTTCGACGACGGCGAAGCGCACACGATGGCACAACCGTTCGACAAAGGCTCGGCGCAGACAACGGTGGCCACTTGCTGACGCAGGACGCAGAGATGGGATGTCGAAGCGCAGACAACTAGAGTCCATTACCGGCCAGAAGGACGGGAAACAGTTGACGACGAGAGGAAACCCATACACCCTCGCCCGCAGCCACGTGGCGCAACAACGGAGCAGCAAAGGCGATAGAGGATGTCACTAACGGGACGTTGCGCGCGAATGCGCTCGTCAGGCTGGAGATGCGAATGGGCTGCACCAGACCCCAGGCAACTAAGCCTCAGATTGTCGTCGCACCCCATGGAAAGACATGCCTGTGTCCCCGCGGAAGGGCCAGGCGGTAGGGGAATTTTTTGTCACATCGCGCGCACCAGGCCCCCCTCGCGACAATTTTGACGTGCAACCACCGTTCGATGCGCGGATCGAACAGTCACGCGGTGGCGTGCGGACCCTGCACGGAAATCCAAAACGGAAGGCCCGATGGGGCCTCGTGTCCCACGCGCCTACAAATACGAGCGGCGCACTGGGCATTAACGATGCGTTTTGCATTTTTGATGGGGAGATGCTGCCCGACGGAAGCCTCGCACCACCACTGTCGTCAACAGCAGTACCCCGCACAGCTGGAGCGCCATAGCTGGCATAGCCATTCTTCACCGCGCTCGTTTCCTGTCACCGACGCACCGCACATGCCCTCGCATGTCCCTCCGCCTACCAAGTCGCTGTCCACGTCATATTCGACGTCGCTTCCGCTCTCCTTTCTCGAAAGGCGCGCCCACCACCCCACGCAGTACCCTCGCAAACGCAAAGCACACGCCCAAAGGTCGACAGAGTGCCGTCACGATTAACGCCGGGGTTCGCGCTCATCTCCACTCGACAATTTCACACAGTGAGTGCGCACGCAGCCGGAACGTATGTGTGCATGTGCGCGCGTGCGGGTGGGTTTTGTGAAGATATGCTCGCGCAAATCGAAAGAGTTCGTGTCTAGATGTGGGTGGGTGGGCGTGTGTGTGTGTGTGTGTTTGTGTGCGAGGGTGTGTTTGCGCGTGCTTTATTGTGTGCGTGTGTGTTCGAGTGCGTGCTCCATTGTGTTTGTGTTTGTATGAAGTGTGTGCCACACGCGCGAGGCAGGATCGTGCGCGTGTCTGTACCTGAGGGGCGTGTGTGTGTGGGCGCTGTATGGCGGCGCGTGTGTGCGTGTGTGTGTGTGTGTGTGTGCGTGTGCCTGTCTGTGCATATTTGTTCGCGTGTGTGTGTGTTAGTGCACATTGAGCGCGGGGAGATGCGTGCGAACGTGCGCGGTCAGGGATGAATGACATGGTTTCCACTTCGATTCCCCGAATGGCGCTTGTGTGTGGATGTGTGAGGAAAGTATCAAAAACGATTCCGCTCGTGCTGTGCTCAACCTCATCTTGAGCACTTGCCACACTCGACTGATCCTGATTGATCCCAATGTCATGTCCGCCGATCTGCCCAATGGATGATCAATCGAAACACGCGGTGGCAGTGTCGATACAGCGAACGCATACATCGACCAATGGCGAAACACGATGAGATCACTCGTGATCGGATGATTGATCGTGTCTGCCGTGTCGACGTTATCACCGCGTGTGTGTTGTTCGTTTTGTCGTGTGTGTTCAGACCACTCGTGATCGGATGATCGATCAGATCCATGACAATATGCACACCACACACGTGATGAACCGACCCATCACCAAACACAAGCCGACCACTCGCGATCGGGTGATAGATGGTGTTTGTTGCCCCAACAACATCGCCCTGATCTGCCCAACGGATGATTAACCAATGCACGAGGCGATAACGTCTGGATCGCAAACGCATCCAACCGACCAGGCAATAGATTACTTGCGATCGGACGATTGATCGTGTGTGCTGCACCGAAGACGTCGCCACTTGTGTGTTTCGATCGTCTCAATGGCAAAACCAAAACACACGCGGCGATGTGCATGTGTGTGTGTGTGTGCGTGTGCGTGTGCGTGTTGTATGAGTACCATAACCTGTTTTTTGTTCCGCCAGGCAATGTGCGTGCGCATGTTTCTGTGTGTCTGCGTGTGCGAGATGCAACCCGTCGGCGAGCGACCTGTTTATCTAACCACGTGATAGTCATCGACCGAACAGTCAATTGGTCAGGGAATCTGCCTGGATCAACTGATTGGCGATTGCTCGACCGGTTGATCAACCACCACACCAACCGCCAACCGAGCAGCCAATCAATCAGCTGATCCTGGCAGATTTCATGACCAATCGATTGTTTTGTGCACATTGATCGTGGAGAATCCTCAAGGCAAATGATCATGTGCACGATCGAAACCCGCGAACGAATCACACAACCGGTCGGAAAAATGTCGATCTCGATCTGCGAACTGAAAAAAAGCACTTCGTCACAATCTTGTTGCACATCGAACGTCGTATAACATCAAACCTGGTTCCACATCAAACCTCGGCGGGCGTCGAACCTCGTCGGACGTCGAACTTTGGAGGACGTCGAGTCATCGATACTTGACGGTCACTGAACGGCGAACGTTGAGCAGCCACCACCCCACGCATCGCCGGCACAATCCTCGGGATTGGAACGTGACTGTTCCAATCCGCCAGCACAAACTTGGCAGTGCCAACCGAACTGATCGCGCAATCAAACACCGGAAGAAGTCCGGATTCCGGCGAGCTTGAGCAGTTGTTCGAACACGCTTCGCAACCCCGAACCGCAACCACAGCCGCGGATGTGTGAAAATTTGAAGTCCGACGGGATCCGAACTTCAAGAAATTGTTGGACGGCGCGTTCGGCAGACAGGTGTGTCTCTCCCAAGCAATTTCGCGAAGTTCGGACCCCGGCGAACTTCAGGTTCCCGCCTTTCGCAAGACATGTTTGCGGCTCTCCCGCTGGCCTGTGGATCCGAACCTCGCTTGCACGGCTCTGAGCACAATCGTCAACTCCGGACCGCGGTGAACTTCGGATTCGTGAAAATGCGAAGTCCACTGGGATCCGGACTTCTCCTTCACAGTTCCTCGCACAGACGTCAAGTTCCGACCCTGGCGAACTTCACTTTTCGCATTGTGTGGGTTCCGAATGCGGACTTTCTAGCGCCCGGGGGATTGGCACAATTACGGATTCGAAGAAATGTGAAGTCCGCCAAGATCCGAACTTCTCGCGCACAGCTCCTCGTTCAATCGCCGAGTTCGCCGGTTGTTTCTCTCGCGCGCGGTTTCGCCAAGTTCGGATCCCAACGAACAGCAGGTTCCCGCCTTTCGCCAGACATTTTGCGGCTCGCTTGCCCTGTCGTGGATCCGAACCTCGCGTGCCCGGTTCCTCGCACGTTTGCCAAGTTCAGAACCCAGCGGACTTTGGATTCGTGAAAATGCAAAGTCCATCAGGATCCGAATTTCTCGTGAACGGTTCCTCGTGCACTCGTCAAGTTCGGACCTCGGCGAACTTCGCTTCCCGCATGGTGTGGGTTCTGACTGTGGGCTTTCTCGCGCCCGGTGGTTTGCCACAACTTTTGTTTCGCAAAAATGCGAAGTCCGCCGGGATCCGAACTTCTCGTGCACAGTTCCTCGCCCCATCGTCGAGTTCGCCGGCTGTGTCTCTCCCGCGCGATTTCGCCAAGTTCGGATCCCGACGAACTTGAGATTTCCTCCTTTCGCAATTCATGTTTGCGGCCCGCCTGCTGGGCCGTGCATCTAAAACTGTCGTGCACGGTTCCTCGGACAGTCGTCAATTCCGAATCCCGACGAACTTCAGATTCGATAGAATGCGAAGTCCGCTGGGATCCGAACTTCTCGTGCAAGGTTCCTCGTGCGGTCGCCAAGTTCGGACCCAGGCGTACTTCAATTTTCGGGTGGTGTAGGTTCGGACTGTGGGGTTTACTGGCGGCCGATGGATAGCCACAACTTCGGATTCTTAAAAATGTAAAGTCTGCCGGGATCCGAATTTCAAGAAATTTTGGGACGGCGAGTTTGAGAGACACCTTTGTCTCTCCCGCGCAGTCTCGCCAAGTTCGGATCACGCCGAACATGAGGTTCCCACCTCTCGTGGGACATGTTTGCGGCTGGCCGGCCGTCCGGCAGATGTGAACACCGACCAAGTCGACCGCCCGGAATCAGATCTTCGAGCGTGCGCTCCGTCTGATGCCATGGGTCGCAGATCGCGAAACACGACGTGTTTACGAGTGTCTCCGTGCCCGTGTGTGTCGTTTGGCATGTGCGCGTGGTGTGTAGGGTGCGTAATGGAGGCGACCTTCTCGACACCACGAATCGTGGAGCCGATCTTCTCGACACCACAGACCATGATTCCCGAGACGCACATTCGCTTGGCAGAACCGTTTCCTCCTTGCGCGAGATCCGTGCGGTATTTTAACGGTGTAACTGCGATCCACGGAGCAACCGCAGAGGACTTCGACGAGGACCCCTAGACGACCGTCGTCCCGTGCCTGGAGGGGCATATTGACGGCTGGTGCGATCGGAATTGGGCCATGATGGAGAGTCGCTGTCCTTGGGCTTGCCAGTACAAGTTCGCCAACATGTTGGAGTTCGGGAACCTCATCCCGGTGTCTGACGCTGTCCTCGGACACAAGTTCCTAAACCACATGCGCAGAGCATTGGGCTGCATTAGCCGCCATTTCAGCCGCCTCGAGTGCCACTACGTCAGGTCGTCGCCACGAACTTGGGGAGGCCCGCGGAAACAAGAGTTGGTGGACTGCGCTCGCCACTACTTATTCCTGGAGCAGTACCCGCTCCGGTGCCCCGGGAATTCTCCACAAGCTGTGTCATACTGTTGTGTGCGGTTGACTGTGTCCGGGTCTGATTTCGCCAGAGTTCTATGTGTCACTGCTTCGAACAAGAGCAAGAAACTCGTCGATGCAGTTGTGCTTGTATCACGCAACGAGGTGGTGATTGAGGGATCCAAATTTGTGGCGACGCGCGGGCCTGAACGTGTAGATGGGTGGCGTGATTTGGTTATAGCAGGGCGGGTCCAAAACTTTTCGTTGCATCGTGAGGTCGAGGAGAAAGTGTGCGATATACGGGACTGTATAGGGAATTCCGTAGCACGACCGGGAGTGTTTGTTAGGATGAAATACATGTCCGTCTTTTTCGAGAGGGCATCGGTAGACGAACTGCAGATCCACGTATACGGATCATCAATGAATGCTTTGTATGGCTTTGGTTCACGACGTCGTCCGAGGGGAACACCGAATGTCGACACATCTGAACGGGTGGTCAGTCGTGGTGTTTGAGGGAAAAGAAGGGAGAGGTATGAGATGTTGTTTTGCTGCCTATAACATTAGATTTCTAGCAGTGGAGGGAGGTGTGATTGGCAACAGTTGCTAGTAGACGCCACACCGCGAACTTGTCGTGCAAATCCCTGATCGTCGTTCAGTTCAACGACGAACGAAAATCATGTTGGAGGTCTATCTTTGACGCCGTTTCCTTCACTGTCGCGCCCCGGCGAAGTTCGGATCCCGGCGAACTTCGCGTTTTGGGTTGTGCATTGGTTTGGCTTCGGTACTCTTGGCGTCAGGCGGGCCGCAAGAACTAGCGGGGCCCACGGGCAGGGTCTTGCTTGAGGCCGCAGGCCCGTCCGACCGGCCTTCGAGCTAAAAGTGCTTGCCGGAGACCAAAATCCAGCCGGGCGCGGCGTTCAAAAAGAATATGCGACCAGTTCCGCCTGGGCACGTTCGCGATCTGAGACCGCCGCCAACCGAACTTCACAAACACTATCCGTGTTCGGTTGTCGCCCGTCCACCATCGACATGGGCCAAATAGTCGATCGATGTAGTTGCGAAATGCCAAAAGCACTCTTAGGGATCCCAGTCGCAGAGTTCGACGCTGGCCGAACAATTCTGAGGTTCTTTCTCCAACACCTTGCTTGGACCCCAACTTGCGTCTAACCTCATACGTGATCTAGTATTTCTCTCTGTGTGTCTTTCTCGCAGCGTCCTTAAGTTCGGATCCCGGCGAACTTCCTGTGACGCCTGTCTATTGGACAGACACTGGTCTTCCTGATCCCCCGTGGATTGCGACAACAGTTCCTGTCCGCCCTGCTCTACACGTTTCGTTCTGCCCCACCAGGGACCCATACAATGTTGTCACGGTTGTTGCGCATATCAGAAGAAGTTCGGATTTCGGCGAACTTATCCTTCTCAACCGGCCTCTCATGTTTGTGTAGCATTCCCAGGTCGTGGTTGAGTCCACGGATCGTGTGTCTCTGACGCCGTCTCTGCCTGTCGCATCGTCCTGAAGTTCGGATCCCGGCGAACTTCATATTTCGGGAGGTGCGTTGGTTTGTCTTCGAACATGCCCGTCCGCTGGTTCGCACAACCCGCCCGGCGACAGTGAGAGTACGTCTCCGACTTCTGGTTTTGATCAAATGCAGTTGCGGAGTGTGTTCGCTCGAGAACGGTTCTGGAACGCCGACTACATGGGCTGGCTGTTTCTCTCTTTCTTTCGCACCATCTTTTAGTCGGGACCCGGGCGGACTTCGCGTGATAGTCTGTCCGGGTTCCGAGTGCTGGGCGGAGGACACTGCACTGTCCAACGCGAGTTTCGAACATGACCTCCCATTCATTCCCCTTGTGGTCGGCAATCGTGTTTCGGAAATACCGATGTGGTTGCCGCCCGGCCGCATGATGTGTGTCCCCTTTTAAAGATTGATCTCGTTGCAGGTAAGAGGTATGTCTCTAACGCGCAGTCCTTTGGTTCGGATCCCGACGAACTTCTCAATTTTCCCTATGTGTTGGTCTGTCTTCGTTCTTCCGGTGCGCCGTCTACCGCATAAACGACGCTTGATCCCCGGCACTCTGCCTCTCGGCCTCGTGCACTATTGAAATTCGGATCCCGGCGAACTACCCATTCTAGCCGTTGCGAAGTTGGGTTCCGGGGTGTCTTTGCGTGCGGATTTCGCTGCCCAAGAGCCTGCGTTGCCGTGTGCCGACGACTGTTCTGTTCCTGATGTGTTTTCCCAAACGTTGACTGCATGGTGCGTTGTATGATTTGGGTTGTCGTTCGCAGACAGGATGTCTTCTTCAAAGGGCGAGGTGGAGCCAACGGGGACCTCCGGGAAGGCATCCGGAAAAGATTCCACGAGGAGGTCGTCTACTGCCACGAAAGGGTGGTTGAACCATGCGAAGTCGAAATGGTTCATCGACTGGTGCTGTGGAGACGCTTCCAACCCCACTGCGCAGCCATGTGGTCCTGTCATCTTCGTCGATGACGGCAGAAGGCGTCGAGTGCTTGGGGCCATCTTGGGGTGGGAGGACGCGAAGGGGGGCCGACGACATTTCCGTATGGAAAAGGTTTATGGCTCCAAGGGCAACGCCATTGCCAATTCGAAAGGGGTGTTGTTGGACCTCGAATTGTGAGAGGGGTTCGGAGCGGGTGTTGTGGACACCCCGTCCTACAGAGAACTCGTTCTCGGGGGTGGTTTTGTTTTGGCGTGTGAGTTTTTCCACATGCCGGAGAACAAGAACATCGTTCTCGACGTCCCCTGCGACGTCAGCCCCTCCCTGGAGCTCTCGTTGCCGTTTAGGCTGTGCGGTGGTTGCCAGTCAAGCGGGGCGGCGGCGGCGGTGATCTGGGTTCTGGTCCAGCTACTCAGCTGCACTGTGGCGAGAGCCGGGGACAGTTCGACGACAGCGAGGACGAGGGGCCTGCAGCGCCGTTGAGGGACACGCGGCGGTCTGTGTTGTCTATTCCAGTGGTCGACATTGGCGATCCGGTTGAACGGGAGAGTGCGGAACCTACAGGAAAGGTGGCAGCCTCTTCGGAGGTCGACTTGGAGGCGAGCGAGGGCCAGAGTGTGGATGAGGTAACCACAGGCGGCCTGGGCACACAAGGCACTCCGCAAAAGAGGAGGGGGGATCGCACATACGAGTTCGTCGGTTCTACGAAGAAGCTGAAGAGCAAGGCCCCCAAGACTGCGGGAGAGAAACGCAAGGGGACCGAGCGGGAGCAAGGCCGGCAGGTTGCCAAACGGCCGGCTTTGAGACAGAAGCAGCCTGCGTTTGGAACGTCTTCTCCACCGACGGAAAGGCCTCCAATCGACGTCGACGCCGGGTACTTCCTCGAGTACAAAGACGGCGTTCGGACAAAGAGGGAGTTCGAGGTTAGCCCTGCTCAGGTCGTCGACCTCGGAGAGTGGGAGGACCTATACAACCAGCGATCCCTGGATCCCATGCTCGTGGAAGGGATCAAAGAAGCGATGCGGTTGGCGTTCGAAAACAAAGCGCAGTCTTACGATTTGCCTACCCTGAAGCTGGCACCGCTGGGGCTTGATAAACCGACTTCGGGGACCAAGGCAGAACGTCTGAGGCCGAAGGATTGGAGGGATGAGCTGGCGGGGCAATACTACTACTACGCGGTGTGTGAGCAGCACAACGCGGCTGCAGCGAGGTCGCTGCTCGGCAGCGAGGTGGCCAGGAAATACAATTTCGAGCGGTGGCCTGCACGAATGCTTTACTTTTCGGACGGCGACTTCGAAGGGTACTTCCTTGTTAGTTCCCAAGACAACAAGAAGGACCTGAAGGCGCCCCCGAGACAGCTGAAGCTGTCAATGAAAGACATTAGGTGGCAGTGGAAGCGCGACGGGTGCCCGCGTGCTGTTATGGGAAACCCCAGCGGAAAACAGGCTCAGGTCCGAATGTGAGGTCGCGCTCAATATGACGCTGCACAACAACTTGTGGACGCTGGCAGATCAGAAAGGCGACGACGCCATCAGGAAGCAAGGCGCTGCCCTGCGTTCCTATTTCCCGCTGGTGATGGCAGGGGAGAACGTATGGAAACTGGCCGTCGAGTTTTTCAATAAATGGGAGACTGGTAGATTGCTCGGCCACGACGGTGCAAAGTGGATCATGCGGAAGAAGAAGGTCATGTGAAGCCCGGGGTTGCCTACGTCGAGAACGACAAGATGAGCAGGAAAGAGGTCGTGTACAACGTCCCTGTGGACCCACCGACAAAGAAAGGCAAAAAGGAGAAAGAGGAGGGTGACTGGTTCGTGCAAGTGCCTGAGCCAGACGCACATTGTTGGAAAGCAATGGAGTCGCTGACCGACAACGAGAAGTGCCGCATCCTAAAGAAGTTTCTCGCTTGCGAGGTGGTTTGTGTCCAGGCCGGCTACGCAGCATTGGCGAAGCTCGGGAAGCTAAGCATCCAGGACATGGTCCATTTGGTGAAGTGCGACCGGGTGCTGGTGCGTCTATGGAACTACTACCAGTTCAAGCACTAGAAGAGGCCGGACGCGGATTGGAGCCAGAGGTGCCCGTTCCTCAAAACAAGGTCTGCAATTTTCAAACAGTTTGAGAGTCGTGGTTTGGATGCAGAGTTGTGGGACGGGAACAGGAAATACATCGCTGACTCCTCGTTGTTCAAGGATTGTCTGCCTTACATGGGCTGCGACGACGACCAATCCATCGACGCAACGGAGAAGTTGGCCGGTCACAAGAAGCTGTCCGTCGACTGGAGGAATAAGGTCCTGTCCGTGTTGACTGGCAGTAGACTGAAGAGTCGAGAGATCGCGCTTGCCGAAGGAATTGTGCACATAGAGTAGAAAGACATGCGCGACGTGACATCCATCGCGCCATTCGGCAACGACCCCTTGGAGGCAGACATAAGGTGTGCGGAGGTGAAGGAGGCAGTGGTTGCCACAAAGAGTCACATGTTCGTCCTCAATCTCTGTGAACCGGTGGACCTGAAGCTGTGGAAACCGCAAGCGTTCGACACTTTGGATTCCCAGCTTCAAACGTGGTTCCCATCGCATTAGATGCTCGTCGTTTTCGTCTCGCGGCAGCAGAACCACCTTTATTTCGTGAAGCTGCTGGAAGGGAAGTGGGTGAGGAGGAATCAACAGAAGAAAAGCTTCCCCGTCGGGAATAATTTGTACACGGAAGACGACCGGATGTACATACTCTTCAAAGGCGACGATTTGCGCGCTAACACGTCCGTCGTCNAAAGCTTCCCCGTCGGGAATAATTTGTACACGGAAGACGACCGGATGTACATACTCTTCAAAGGCGACGATTTGCGCGCTAACACGTCCGTCGTCTACGAGGGGAAACTGCCACCTGCCGCCGCTGCTGCAGTGCGGCTGCCGCAGAAGGTTACGCAAACGGATGTGTCCGACATCCCGTTCAACCCTTGCGATTGGTTGCATGTCTCACCTGCGCGTCGGGGCAGTGTGTACGGGGACATGGAACACAACCCCACGCAATTCGTTAATCTTCTCGAGTCCGTCACCAAGAAGGGGGAGGGTGTAGTCTTCCTCGGGAAGCCACACGCGCGATCCGTGTGGGAACTGCTGAAGGCAGGACGACACGTCATCACAATGGAAGGGAACTCCGAGCTCTTGCAATTTACAATTGATCTCGTCAAAAGCGAGGTCAATTCGGGTGCCCACATTTGCGAGTTCATGGTCGTCAACGAGTCTCGCCCTCGCGCGGCCCAAGAGAGACACTGACGCCGAGTATGTGCGCCGCAAGGACCACATGTTCACGCTGCTCGACAACTACCACGGCGCCTCCCGCATGAACGTAAAGACCTTCCTCGAGAGGTTGCAGTCCCTGTACTTCGTGGAGTCAGAGGAGGAGTAGACGTTCGGCAATTACTCCTCCTTGATCTCCACGGAAGACGAGGAGACCACCGGCATCGAGTTCGACGCGACCGCGAACGAGGAGGGCAGCGACACCGAAAGCCTCGACCTGCAGCACGACCCGCATCCCGGGCAGCACACAACAGGGTCGTCCTTCGCAGGTCCGTCAACAAGCCCGACATCCCTCGTATCACCGATGGCGAAAGCGGCGCCTGGCACTACCCCGATGAAGTTGCTGCAGAGAATGCAAGCTCTGGCCTCCGGCCATCGCTCACTGCGTCCCGGGTCTGACATCCCGACCGATCATCTGTCTTGGAAGGATGCCAACATTCACTTCCTGCCTGAGCCTCAAAGTCGTTCCACGAAGGCGGAATGGGGCCATGACATGATTTGGCATCCAGGAGTCATCCAGCCGGCGATCCAAAAGGGTGAGTGGATCGTGGCCGTCGTTGTCCCGGACGAAGGATGGATGCCTCTCCCTCGCGGGTCGAAGTCTGACTTCCTCGACGTCTCTAGAATTGCGGTCCTCCAGAAAGTGAGGGCCGAGAATGACTCTTTCGCACCCGAAGACGTGTCCGTCATTTTCACAGCCGGACGACTGTTCGCCGAACTTCAGGACAAGTGTTGGTTGGAGCTGACGGAGGACTACTACGACCTCAATACGAGCCCCTCGAAGGGAAGGGTGGACTGGAAAATCCCCCCTCCCAGTGGGACGCATGTAAGTTCAGGGTCCTGGGGACCGGACGGTGGGGAGAACGAGGCCGACGAGGCTGGTGGCGGCAAAGGAGTCCCGCCTGGTTTGGAGGGCGGGTCTCAGGGCGAGACCACGACAGCGGAAGGCAGCGGCGGGGTGGCGGGGGAGGCCTTCGGGCGTCAGTAGTCTACCGGTCCCGGTCCGGCAGGCTCGGCACAGTCAGCGGACGTGCCCACTTCATCCGCCGGCTTGGTGATGGCGGCCTTGGTTGCTCTCCGTGCCGGCTCGGTCGAAACATTCAAGTCCTCCGGGATCCGAACTTCAATGCTTGCAGAGCGGACAAAGAGGACGGACGCACAGAGCTTGTCAGGAGTGGGGGTGGCGAGTCGTGATCCCAAAATAGACGGCGGTGCGGTGAGGGACGGGACTGCGCCGCCTGCGGGGGATCGCCAACCGCTTCGGTCGGAGCGAGAGGGTACGTGTGGGGGGCCCGGTGACAAGGAGACGGCGAAGTTCGCTGGGATCCGAACTTCCTCAGGCAAGGGGGGGCAACCAGGGATTGTCGTGTCGGCGGGAGGGGCTGCGTGCAGCGGGCGGGAAGGGCATTCGTCGGAATTCAACAGTGGTTCGGGCGAGGTGGTTGGATTACATGCACGGGAAGAAGGCAGGGTGATGGACAAAGAGAAGGAAGGGGAGGAAGGAGACACAGGGGAGGAATTGGAGGAAGGAGGGGATGAAGGGGAGGAAGAAGAGGATGAAGGGGAGGAAGGAGAGGAAGGGGAAGAAACGGAGTTGGCTGGGTTGCTAGGAGGGAAGGACGGGGAAAAAGGTGAACTCGATACTGGAGACGACGAACGGACGTTCGGCAACGACGATGACAGATCTGGGGAGTCGTCTGACGGATTCGGGCAGTTGTACGGATAACATCGCAAGGAAGACGACGACGACGATGACATGGCACTGGGTATGGAGATACAGGTGGTCACAAGCCTTTCGGCAGAACGTGATGATTATGAGGTCGAAGCAATGACGTCTGCCTTCGATCTCCAACACCGGTTCAACGAAGCTAATGTTGCAGTCAGCCTGAATAAACCGAGTGTGCGTATTGACATCGAAGAAGTTATCGACGACATCCTGGGCGACCACCACATGTCCGCGCAGCCGTCCTCGACGCCTGGTGTCGACGACCCTCTCGACATCAAACCTTCCGGGGGATCTGTCGTGGCTTTGTCGCCGAGGAACTCCCCGATGCTGCCGCCGACCATCGCCAGCGGAGGAGAAGGCGAGATCGGGGGACGACAAGATGTCACATCCCCGAAAAAAATTGCCGCCGGCACTCGAGCTCTCGACGTGCTGGCCTTGCCCGCGCCAACTTCACCGATTAAGGAGCGGAGAGACAAACCAGCTGGTAAGCAGTGACAAACGCCACTCTGTCTGCGTGTCAGTGACCACAGTGTCTGTCGATACGGGGAGTTCTTGATGTCGGCATGCTACAGCCACCACTCCTTCAAACTTCCAAGTACATGTGAACGACCATCCTATGAGTCGGTCAGGTTACTGGTCGTGTGCAGGGCATACGAGACAAAAACATGTGTGTTTTTGTTGAAGCGTTCCCTCACATGATGGAAGGATGGTGTTTCTTTTTCGGAATGAGTGGTGGTTTTAGTCCGTCGGGATCCGCACTGCCAAGGCCGCTGCGTAATGCGGTTACTCTTTTTGTGCCTCGATTGGAAAAAGTCCGTCAGGATCCTGACTTCATAAATGTTTGGCCTCCGCGTTTGTGGCTTGTTGAGGTTTTCCCTTTTGAAGGTCGGGGGTGTCGAGGTCGAACGCACTGCTCCTTTTATTTTCCAGCGGGGCTTGCGCAGAAGTATTCTCTGTCTCTCTCATAACTAAACGGGGTTCTGTAATTAGATAGGTCCTACGTCTTCTACATTTCGTGGTTCTTGAATTGTCGTTTGCGTCGGATTCGTCTTGGATCACGTATATTCATTTTCTGTTTTCTCTTCCTTCGGTTGTCCAGGGGTTGGGTCATTTCCCTGGGTCGGAAAAGTCCGTCGGGATCCAGACTTCAGAGATGTTTGGCTTCCGCTTCTGTGACTTGATGTGGTTTTCCCTTCTGAAGGGCAGGGGTGTCGAGCTCGAGTGCACTGCTCGTTTTGTTTTGCAGCGTGGCTCATGCGGAAGTTCTCTCTCTCGCACTCTAATGGCATGACGGGGTTCTGTAATTGCATAGGTCCTGCGTCTTTTAGATTTCGTGTCCTTTCGTCAGGTTCTTCTTCGGAAACGTGTATTCATTTTCCGTTTTGTCTTTCTTCTGTTGTACAAGGGTAGGGTCGTCTCGAACACGGAGGCCCTCTAAATATCCGGAACACATATTGCAAACCGTTTCGGGGTTGACGACAAAACACAAGGACATGTTAAAGGCATCAGGGGTTGATGTCGAAATCGGGAAGAAGGAGCACGTCATTGCCATTGAGGAGTGTCTTTCCCTTCTGCCCCCAGAGAAAGGGAGATATCAACGATTTGTGACTAGGGGTCAGGCCATGTATGAGAAATACTTAGCTACTCGTCGTGCGATGAAGGAGAATCCTTAGAGTTCCGTTTCTCACTTCCCCCCCTGTCCTTTGCTCGATGTTGTGCAGTGCGGGCCACGACACCTGGAACAACAGTGACTGCGATTGGAAGCTTGCGGGTTTTGGACGACATTGAACGAGGCTTGGTGCCACCTGACACTGTACTCTCGACCCTCGGCGATGGTCAGTTGCGAATTGCAGTGAAGGATATTCTCACCCTCTCACTTACCGACGGCAGGGTGAATGATGAGGTCATCAACTTTTACATGGTGCTATTGGAAACGACTGCATATGGGATACGTGACATCCCGTCAGGCCTTCGTGTCTTCAGCTTTAATTCTTTCTTCTTCAGTAAACTGCAACTTCAAGGACACGGCGGGGTGGAAAGATGGGTTAAAAATGTGGATCTGCTTCAATATGATATTATCTTTGTTCCAGTCCTCAAAGATAATGATCATTGGATCCTCCTTTCCGTGAACTTGAGAGATAATGTTCTTGAGATTTTCGATTCTTTTTCTTGCGTTGTAGCCGATTCTAGTTTTTACCTTAGTGTGTTCGAGTTGATCGTACACTATTTGGAATGTCAAACATCACATAGGCGGTCGTGCAGGCGCTGGAAGTCGGTAGCAACAAATGTTGTTATAGAGGGAGTTCCAAGACAAGTGGATGGAGTTAGTTGCAGGGTGTTTCTGTTAATGATTGCGACACTGTTGCAACGTGGCGATCGACCGCCTTTCAGGTTCTCTTGTAAAAATATTTTGTATATTAGACGACAATTCGCATCATGTATCTTAGAATGTCGTTGTCGTTGATGGATTCGATTGATTTGCAAAATTCTGTTTCAGAATATTTCATATTTTAACTGTCGCTTTCACAACGATATTACTTTTTTTTGGTGTTGCGAGTTTGAGTTGTCTTTGGTATGTTGACTGTCAGTCTGGCGTTGCGTGTTGCGTTCAGAATCTCTGTCAGGTCCGGCTCGTCTGTCGTGCTATTACATTCATCGCATTGCAGTCCTCGTTGCAAATTGTGTCCAGGTCATCCAAAGATGTGCATATAATTCACCTCGAGATGATATTCGTGTGTGTGGTGCGACATGACGAATTGGAGTGTGGATGCAAGACAAATCTCGGCGAGTGTGTGGGTGTGAGGTTCGTTATGCAAAGACTAAAGACGAGTGGCATCACGTCTCTTGTGTGCATAGACAATCATGTACCGCCTGAATTACATGTAACCGACAATTTTGCGTTCGTGACCGGGAAAAATAAATTGTATGTCAAAAATAACTGTTTCTACTTCTAAAGAAGTCTGAATCTCTACAACATCCAGACAACCGCCTCGGGCGAGACGATTGTCATGCATGTACAACTCACGCATAAAAGAAATAAATAGTATTATCCAACAAGGATTCAATCATGACACCTTGCTCATCACATTCACATACTTGAAGTTTAACAAGTGTGTCTCCCGACACACTATCGCACAGGCATCCCGGATGGGCGTGCCTGTCGCTACTCTACGTCTTCTAATATAATTATCCAACGAGGATGCAATCATGACACAGTGCTCGTCACAATTATGGAATTGAAGTTTAACAAGTACGGATCCCAGAACACTTTCCGCACATGGTTCCCTGATGCGCGTGCCTGTCGTTATTCGTTTATGAAGTTTAACAAGTACGGATCCCGACACACTTCGGCACAAGATTCCCGGCACATTTCTGAAGTTCAACAAGTAAGGATCC